CATAATGTCTGTAAATGTTTATGATGTTATGATAATAAAATGTGATATTTTGTTACATGCATAAAATGTATAATGATCAAGTCAGAGTATTTAGGATATCTACCACCTCTAGCATTTATCATTTCTATGTTGGAAGCATTTCAAATCCCCTCTTCTAGCTAGTTTGAAATATACAATACATTATTGTTAACTTTAGTCACTCTACTTTGCTAACAAATATTCGCTACCACAGTCTTCCTACCTTTTGTAATTATCATTCTAGTCTGTATCTCCATGAGAACAACTTTTTAGCTTCCGCACATGAGTGAAAATGTGTGATATTTGTCTTTCTAAACCTGGCTTATTTCACTTAATATCTTGTAGTTCCATCCATGCTGCTACAAATGACAGGATTTCATTCTTTTTTATGGCTTAATAGCATTCCATTGTATACTTGGACCATATTTTCTTTATGCATTCATCCATTGATGGACACTTAAGTTGATTCCATATCTTTGCTATTGTGAGTAGTGCTGCAATAAACATGGGACTGTAGGTATCTCATTCATATACTGATTTCCTTTCCTTTGGATAAATACCCAGTAGCGAGATTGCTAGATCATACAATAGTTCTGATCGTTTATTTTTACCTTCACTGTTTCAGAAAACATTTTTTAACACTTACATTATAATATAGTAACTTAAGAATTACTTGATAATTTTAAAGTGTCTACTTTTTATGTTGAAGAATTTTTTAAAATCTCAACAGATTTAATAGCACAAAAGAACTAAAATAGGTCATTTGTTTTAGGATGGCTTAGAAGAAAAACAACTTAAATTTGTCAAGAAACTGGTACAGTGTTTTCAGAATGGACTTGTATCCTTTATGTTTGTATGTATGTTCATTTCATTTATTCTGAAACAAGAGAATTTCTATTAGAAAGTGTATTAGTTGGCCAGGCGCGGTGGCTCAAGCCTGTAATCCCAGCACTTTGGGAGGCCGAGACAGGCGGATCACGAGGTCAGGAGATCGAGACCATCCTGGCTAACACGGTGAAACCTCGTCTCTACTAAAAATACAAAAAACTAGCCGGGCGAGGTGGCGGGCACCTGTAGTCCCAGCTACTCGGGAGGCTGAGGCAGGAGAATGGCGTAAACCTGGGAGGCGGAGCTTGCAGTGAGCTGAGATCCGGCCACTGCACTCCAGCCTGGGCGGCAGAGCGAGACTCCGTCTCAAAAAAAAAAAGAAAATGTATTAGTTTTCTATTGCTGTTGTAACAAATTACCACAAATTTGATGGCTTAAAACAACATAAAGTTATTATCTTACAGTTTTGGAGGTTAGAAGTCCAAAATCAGCCTCACTGGACTAAAGTCAAGATGTTGGCAGGGCTTAAGACTCTAGAGAAGAATCATTTCCTTGCCTGCCCCAGCTTCTGGAGGCTGCCTACATTCCTTGCCTCATGCCCTCTTCCCCTCACTGGCATCACTCTCACCTCTGTTCCTGTCATCACATCATCTTCTCTCTCTGACCCTCCCTTCCTCCCTCTTTCCTTTATGAGGATCCCTGTGATTACGGTGGGCCCACCTGGATAATCTAGTATAATTTTCTTATCTCAAAATTCTTAATCATATGTGAAAAGTGCCTTTGCTGTGTAACATAGTTACAGGTTCCGGGAATTAGGACATGGACATCTTGGGGAAGGCCATTAATCTGTCTACCACAGAAAAACTGGAGAGGCCATTATTCTGTCTACCACAGAGAATATCTAAGGTTTTATGTTCTTTACAAAACTGTATTTTGTATCAGAGAATGTAAATAAAATTGAAGAAACAATGTAACACAAGTAACTGTGGATAATACCAGTTTTTGTAGATTCAGAAAGACAATGGATGTAGTTAGAGGGCCAAGTCAAAGTCATTGTTTCTATAATTTACATGGGCAGTTGTACCTTTGATAAGCTTCTTAACTTCTTCATCCTTGTAAAGTAATAGAAGCTCATGAGGTTATTAGGAAGATTAGATGAGATCATGTACATGCAAGTGCTTGATAATCTGTAAAATATTATATAAATATACTATCCCTACTAAGTATACCACCCTGATCAGAATACATGAAAACCAGTGTGTCTTAAAACTATCTGTACATAAAAGCCGGGTGTGATGGCTTACACCTATAATCCCAGCAGTTTGGGAGGCCAAGACAGGAGGATTGCTTGAGGCTAGGAGTTCAAGACCAGACTGGTCAACATACCAAGACCCTGCCTCTACAAAAAAAACAAATAACCAGGCGTGGTGGTGTGTGCTAGCTACTGGGGAGGCTGAGGCAGGAGGATTGCTGAAACCCAGGAATTCAAGGTTACAGTGATTTAAGACTGTGACACTATACTCCAGTGTGGGCAACTGAGTGAGACCCTGTCTCAAAAACACACAAACAAACAAATACTACCTATGGATAAGAATCAGTTTGTTGTTGGGTTGTGTTTTGTTTTGGGGGGTTTGTTTGTTTCTTTGTTTTTGAGACAGAGTCTCCATCCAGCCTTAGCTGCCCAGACTGGAGTACAGTGGTGCAGTCATAGCTCGCTGCAACTTCAAACTCCTGGGCTTCAGCGACCCTCCTACCTCAGCCTCCCAAGTAACTGGGACTACAGGAATGCACCCACCATGCCCGGTTAATTTTTATTTTTTTGTGAAGTCTCATTATGTTGTACAGGTTGGTCTCGAATTCCTGAGCTCAAACAATCCTCTCGCCTCGGCCTCCCAAAGTGCTGGGATTACTGGTGTGAGCCACTGCAGCTGGCCATTTTTTTTTTAACATTTACATATATATGCTATTGTAAAATACAATAGAAGTATCCCACAAGTATTAGATTGTTATAAAAGTTTTTATATGCCCACTCTCGCTTTCTGTATTCATTTTGTCACAGACTGGTAAATACACTTCCAGAACTGACAGTGGTCCATGGACCACACTTTGGATAGTATTCATCTAAATCAAGCTTGTCCAACCCTCAGCCTATGGGCTGCATGCTGCCCAGGATGGCTTTAAATGCGGCCCAACACAAATTTGTAAACTTCATTAAAACATGATGAGATTTTTTTTGACAATTTTTTTTAGCTCATCAGCTATCATTAGTGTTTGAGTATTTTATGTGTGACCCAAGAGAATTCTTCTTCTTCCAGTGTGGGCCAGGGAAGCCAAAAGACTGGACACCCCCGAAAATGATCTTGAACAGTTGTCTGACTTGGTCTAAAGAAGTTATTAAGCCCATGCATTGTGGCTCATGCCTGTAATCTCAGCACCTTAGGAGTCTGGGGCAGGAGGATCATTTGAGGCCAGGAGTTTAAAACCAGCCTGGGCAACATAGCAAGACCCCACCTCTACAGAAAAAAATAGCCATGTATGGCGATGCACACTTGTAGTTATATCTTCTCCAGAGGCTGAGGCTGAGGTGGAAGGGTCATTTGAGCCCAGAAATTTGAGGCTGCAGTGAGCTATGTTTGCTCCACTGCACTCCAACCTGGGTATGGGTGACTGAGTGAGACCCCATCTCTAAAAAAAAGAAAAAAAAGTTATCAAGCTCTAATATTAGCTCGTTGTAGTTCAAAACCTCTTAAGACTTCCATTCAGAAAAATGTTTCTTATAATTTTATCTAAATCTTTTATTATATTTTATTCTTGGTTTTATTTGGACCTGTTCAGTCTTAGGGCTTGTGTATATCAAGCCCTATTTACTGGTAGCTGAAAATGTCTACTAGCAGGTGATTTCTTTTCCTATTTTAACCTGATACCTCAACACCTCCATTTTTTTTTTTTCCTTCATGTAAACCGTTGGTGGCAATTGGCTCTATTTCTGATTCCCTTTCATAGGCTGGCTATATAAATTGTAAAACTTAGCAAAGTTGGAGAAGTATCTTGGTCACTTCTGTAGGAAGTTAACAGAGCTTTCTATTTCCAGTGTACCCTGCTCTCCCATCTTTTCCTAAAAGGTCCTAGAAAAAGGCTAGAGGTAATAAGATTCAACCAAGAAGTGTAAGTCACATCTACCATAATTTCTTAGCTATAAAACAAAATCAATGAAATGTGTTTATGTGCCAATAGGATTTTTTTTTTTTTTTTTTTTTTTTGAGACGGAGTCTCACTGTGTCACTCAGGCTTCAGTGCAATGGTGCGATCTCAGCTCTGCAACCTCCGCCTTCTGGGTTCAAGCAATTCTCCTGCCTCAGCCTCCTGAATAGCTGGGATTACAGGTATGCACCACCACACCCAGCGAATTTTTGTATTTTTAGTAGAGACGGGGTTTCACCATGTTGGTCAGACTGGTCTCGAACTCCTGACCTCGTGATCCGCCTGCCTCGGCCTCCCAAAGTGCTGGGATTACAGGCATGAGCCACCACACCCAGCCAGCAGGATTTTTTAATAGATAAAATAAAAGATGCTTTTGTTTAAAGATCTAGAAAGGCTATATTTTGCTTTCATATTAGTTTCAGATAAAATCCTAACCAATTTAAGCCTTAAACACAGGAAAATGCATCTCAGTTTAATATTAATAAAATAGTAGAGTAAAGTAAGGTTTGGGTTGCTTATTCTGAGACAGCATATGTTTGTGTGGGTGGGGGTTGGGGGTGAAGATGAAGGGTATAATTGACCCTAATCAATAAGTTAATGTTTCCAATGTGCTATTACTCATTGCCAGTGGGAAGTTATTGATCAACTGAATCTGTGTTGTAGCAGTTGGTAATCCAATTCTAAAGTTGTGAGAGGAAAAAAATTTTGAGTAGATGTTTTTCTGAGGCAAAAATGAAATTTTTTTTTTTTAAAAATATGGTTCTAAATTTCCTTTTTTAGACTTCAAAATAAGAAAAATTAAAACAGTATCTACCACATTTGGCAAAATAGTTGGAATTCTATAGACTTTCTTCACAGAAATACTATAAAGAATATGTTAATAAAGAATCTTAATTTTATTAATTTTATTTCTTAACTAAAAATATTAAAGCCATTAAGAGATTTAGCACAGATATTTAAAATTCTGAATCTGTGTGCAGGAAAGATAAAAAAACAGCCTCGTTTTGTAGAATCTGCATATGATATCATAAAACTGTGTAGGTAAGTTATCTTTCTTTAACTTTATTTTGCATTAACATGGAATGTGTTGTTATGTTTCTTGTATCACAAACATACTATGCATTACAGTGTAGCAGATTGCTACAGAACTCAAGAAAACTTCAGTTCATCACTTGATTCCAGCAGTTGGTATTTCAGGTAATCGGTTTGCTGTGGTCTGAGACTGCTAACAACAAGAGATTAAATTCTAAGTATATTGAAATGCTGTCTTGTAATTCGTTACTCTGAAGTAAATGATGAATATTAGATGTAACCAAGGAATTATAGTATTTTCTTGAGTGAACTTATGGATATGCTTGTAGTTTCAGTCTAGTTTTTTTCTCTGTCTTTAGAAAATTTGGGTCTCAAAGATATATTAGGTTATATGTCATGTTTTATCTGATTTTTGAAATTTGAGTGAAGAATAAAATATCATCAATTACATTTGATATATATTTTAAAAATGTAAGTTAGAGGTAAGCATTGTAAAATTAATGTGCCTTATTCTTTCTACTGTTGGTTCTTTAACAAGCTCTGGGAACTGAGTATATGGTGCTCCCTTGGTGCCACATGGTGGCTAATCTAGGTATATATTAAAATATCCATTTTTAGTTGCTTAATGTAATGTAGGAGGGAGGAATAAACCTTTCTGACAATTTTAGCTTCTGAACCTTTCTACCAATTTAACTTTTTAGATAGCAATTATTTACTTTAATATACAAATAATATATAAATAATTGAAAGGTTTAATGGAATTATGCATACATGGTAGGTTCTAACTCTCACTTTTAGATTTAGCAGCAATATTTAAAATGTTTGTAACCACTTAAATTTATTTTTTTGATATCTGAATAAAATAACCAAAATAATATATTGAATGCCTATACCATGCCTTGCTTTTTAATAGATAGGGACAATGGAAAATAAATGGTTGCTCTGGTGTTTTCAAGGAACAGATTGGAAATTATTATTATATTGACATATGATTATATAATGTAAAACTTTTAAATCTCAAGGCTTTGCAAGTCCTAGAATACTAAGTTTATAAGCATTACTTTCAATGTCTATGCTCCTACAGAGCTCTGCACAAAGTTCATTCTCTATGAAAACTTGTGACTGAATGTTTAATTGTATAGCTGCAGTCTTCATTTTCCCTCATATTTCATAATTATTCACATGTTAATTTTTTCTACTTTTCTAATTTCAGCTTATGTCTAGATAACTTCTCTACGCCTCACCCTCACTTGTTTCTCTTTTCAAGACATTTTTGGAAGATAAAAACAATAAAAATAAAATAATATTTCCATTTTGGCCTCCTAGTAGTATGATTTTCTCACTGCATCAGAAGTATAATGCTAATTTTTTCATATACTTTTTGGTTGAAAACTCTTCTGATGCTTTATCTTACAGGTTGTCTCCTTTGCTAGAAAAGGAAAAAGTTTGGGAACAAAAAGTACTAGTTTTAGAGTCCTTTACTTTAGAGATCCAACAAGCAGCTGGATAACAAATATAATACGTTATTTGTTTCAAATGACAAATTTAGACAAACATTAGAAATGAACTTCTGTGGCATTTATAAAATTGTACTTTTTGTAGCTTGCTTTTCAGCTATCTTTAAATTCAAATTGGCCTGTATATTGCTATTAATACATCCTCATGTGATAGTTCTCAATGCCATTTTCAACCACTTCTTTAATTTTTCTTGAAAAATATGAATGAAAAGTTCTCTATATATAGGATATATTGTACTTTAAATAGTACAGGAGGTTCAAATTTTGAACTCATGAAATGTCAAGATAGTTTATATATTTAAAAAATAACTTTTATATTATCTTTGAAATTTAGACTGACCCAGGTTTATGTGCCAGATCTTTTAAGATTTATAGAGAAGTTACTTTCAAATAACTTTGGTTATAGTAGTTATGAAATGCAATTCTAATATAATTAATATTTCTTAACTTGAATGCCTTAATGTCTGCAAAACCATTCTGTTACTTTGTGGATAGTTACTAACCCAGCTAATAAGGAAAAATGCACTGATCTCTAAGAATGAATAAACTATTGATTTTGCCTAGAGTTTTGAAAATTTCAGGAAAAGCTCTTAACCAGTTTTTAAGTCATTGGTGAGCTTAGATCTATGGTTTGTATCAGATTATCCAATGTCGTACTAACTTTGATAGAATTATAGCTATAGTTTATTACTATTTTGGCCTCAAAGATAAAGAGGGTTCCTAAGTTTTTTATTCATGAAGTGATGCAAAATGACTTTCTTAACCTATGCCTTTTACATCCATTTCTTAATTTTTATAATTAACATAATCTTTTCTTTTTGGTCAGTTCATTAGAAACATTTTTTTCTTTTCTTTTCTTTTCTTTTCTTTTCTTCTTTTCTTTTTTGATGGAGGCTCGCTCGCTCTGTCACCAGGCTGGAATGCAGTGGTGCAATCTCAGCTTACTGCAACCTCCGCGTTCCTGGTTCTAGTGATTCTCCTGCTTCAGCCTCTCGAGTAGCTGGGACTACTGGCGCATGCCACTATGCCCAGTGAATTTTTGTATTTTTAGAAGAGACAGAATTTCACCATGTTGGCCAGGATGATCTCAATCTCTTGACCTCGTGATCCACCCACCTCAGCCTCCCAAAGTGCTGGGATTACAGGTGTGAGCCACTGCACCTGGCCCCAGAAACATTTTTAATAGTTACAATAGTATTAAACTATAATAATATGTATTACAACTGGTAGTTAATACTTGTCAATTCCCCAGGGCTAAAGAATAGAATATTATTATTAATTTATTCTTTAGAAACGAACTCTCCCCCATTTACAAATGATGCTTCAATCAAAGACTATTAAAAATTACTCTTACAATTCTTCACTCTTATTGAAGCTTGCCATTTTTGAAAAAGAAAGTATCGGATGAAATAACTTATGCTGAAGATACTGCTAATTCAATTGCGCTTCTGGGTAAGTTAAGATTTCCTTAAGGTATACGGATGTAACGTATGACAGGTCCTACTGACAAGGAAGTATCTATTTTCCCCAAGTTTCACTAAGAGGACTCCTTCTCCATGTCTAGGATCTTCTGTTGTTTCCTGGTAGTGAATTAATCACAGTGTGCATGGTGATAATTCTGGTATTGTATTCTGCTCAGGTTGTTTCATGATACCAATAAAAGTCTGTCTTCTAAGTACAAGGACAGGCGGGTTATGTAGTTTGATGAATTGTTATTTAGTTTGATGAAGTGTTTGTTCACTATTTTTATAAATCAGAAAGTATACATCCCCCTTTTTAAGTAATCACGAAAACATTTCAACTTTGAACTCTAACATTTAATTGCTACAATCATAGAATTATTCATTAAATGATCTAAATTTTTAAATCAAATCATAAAATGATAGCATATTAACAACTTCAGCATAATGCACATAAAGATGCAGATGCCTGTATTTTGTACACAAAAATATGAAAAGTATCATAAAAGGGTAGGTATTTACATACGGGTTATCACTTGATTTTCTAAAGAAAGAAAACAATTTCCAGGGAAATTAGATCAGGGAAACACTGGCTCTTTGAGTCAGCTCCTGGGACATGACAGCATGTTCCCAAAACAAATCGTACATTAAATCGATACTTACTAGTTTAGGTCTTTATTTGTACAGGAGGAATAAAAGATACACAATTGATCCAATGCATCTTTAAAAATATTTGCTGAGTAGTGATGTTCCCAGCATTACACTCCATATAGAAAGATGTTAGAGATTCAACTGGAATGAAGAAAAAAAAAGGATTTTTATTTTTAACATAGACGCTAACCCTTTTATATCTCAGTAGGTTTTATAGTTTTTAATTTTAGTTACTTTGGGAAAACTACCTAGGGTTCACCTACTCTACAGCCCAGAGTAGGTGAAGGTGTTGTGGAGATTAGGTTAAACATGAGGGGGGCAGTTTAAAGAAAAACACCTTAGGGAGCAGGCAGGTTCAGAAATATGGGAATTTTTAATTATGTGAATCTCTATCATCAGTGGAAATTTACAACGAGAAGCCAACTCAAAAGAGGACATGGTAGTATTAACAGAGAAAAAGTGTAGTTTTTGTTGGTAACATTTTTTAAAATACCCCTGTTGCCATTATTTTTAAATATTGCTTCCAAAAGTGTTGACAGTCACTTGTATTATAAATACAGGCCAATTTTTACTGAGTGTCAGCTTGTTCTTTGCTCAATGACTGGTACCCTGCCTGCACAACATGTTACTATCTCATATGACAACAGTATGAACTCTTAACTTTAAATGAGTTTCCTTTGCTGATTACTGACTGCAAGTACTGCTCTTCTGTCTCTTGGGTTTTTTTAATGGCTGGAAACATTAGTTTAAACTAAAATAATTGTATAGAAGATGAAATGTTGAACAAAAACTCTTCATGATTTTAGTAAGAACTTCCAGTTTCTACTGTGTGCTAATAAGTTATATTACATTTTCCTCCAAATGATACATAGATATTTCTGACTCAGAAGCAAGATTCTGGAAATGGATGAGGGAAGCAGTTGGTACTCTGCCCTGAGATTATGAAACAGGAAGCTATGATAAATTATCTAAATTTACAGGAACTAAAACAGTGGAAAAGCAGACGAAAGACCCTAGATTTCCCATAAGCCTGCATATTTGGATAGTCTTGTTGGAAAAGCTTAGTTGTTCCTGTTGTGTAAAATTTTTAAAACCTAAGTAGTGATTTTGCAACTCCAAAAGAACAGTCCAAAAAATAAAATTTAGAGTTAGAATAATCTTAAAACTGTCTTTTTTAAGTGATGTCTTTTGCAGAGATTCTCCTGAAGCTAGGGTCAGGCTTTCCTTTGTGCTTTCTCATTCTGTCCACTTGCCACCCCACTTGCTAACCACCTCCAGAGATGAGCATCTTGCAAGGGCTAATGCAAAAGAAGAATTGCTAATTATTCTTTTACCCTCAGAGAGTCCAACCAGTTCTAGTTTAGTTCTAAGGTCGATATCACTGACTACAGCTGTCCTCAGGCATTCAGAGAACCTGGATCATTTCCATAGTCCCACAGATCATTTTCAGATACCCTTGAGGATCATGTTTATAGGACTTCAACAGAGTAGATGCAAATCCAGTTTGAAATACAGGCTGAAGCCAATTTAATTGTAGTTTAGATATGACTGAAAAGGAACCTTCCTATTCGCCAACCCCACGCAGACAGCTTGAACATAAAACTATTATCCTTGCCTGTGGGGCAGCTGCCTAAAAACTCACTCTCTTCCAGTCTGCCAACAAATTGAAGAGCAAAGTTCACCTGGAACTTCTCTAAGCAAAGAACGCATTAGTAAAGGCAAAAAATTAAATGCTAACCCATATCTTGTCAAAGTAATAATAGTATCTAACACATGTAGAACTTACAATATGCTAGATGCTTTTCTCAGCCCTTTTCTCATATTAGCTAATTTAATCCTCACAACAATCTTAAATGTGGTAACTATTGTTATACCTGTTTAATAGATGAGAAAAGTAAGACACAAGTTTACATGGGTAGTAAATGGCAGAGCCAAGATTTAATCTTAGGCAGTCTGGTTCTAGCATTTGTGTTAATAATCATCATTCTTTTCTCCCTAGAAAGGAGAGGCTGAATTGATTGAGGGACCAAATGTATAAGGATGGATTCAGGGTACTGTTTATATGTATATGTATGTTATATGTGTGAGCATATGTATAAAAATATGTATATAAATTGAACATAATCCACTTTGAATCTCTGAGAATATTGTTAATAATCATCATATTATTAACATTTTATGCCTAAATTCTACAAATAAGCTTATGACAGTGTTGTTAAGTAGCACCTGTTTATCTTTCTGGCAGGTGACTTAATGAAAATACCAAGTTCTGAATTGAGGATACAAATTTGTAAGTGTATTGTTGATTTTTATCATGCAGAACCACCAAAGAAGCATATTCCAGGTGAAGTTTACAATGGTCTTTCAGTGATAACTTGTGTATTTAGAAAACAGAACATTCTCATTTCTCTTTGAATTTGACAGACACAGTGGGCTCATAAATGTAACACATTAAAAAGAAAACTTTTTTTGTAGTCTTGATCTCTTCAGTCATCTTTTAAAAGTTATATATGTATTTTTCAGTTTTTGATTTGCATATTTTTATTCTGATGCTAAATATGAACAAATTTGTAAAGTGATACCCAATTTAGTTAATTAATAATCATAAATGTTACTATTATATTATGTAATACTATTGATAAAATTATTTTTTAAACACTTTATAATTATTTATAATATCTGCCCCTACTCAGTTAAATGTTAAACTACCAATACCAGGGCCATTCTCCATCATGTTTGGGAAAATAGTTCTGTGTGTCATAGCTAAGGGACCTTAATATATAGTGATAAGTGAACCACACTGAATTGGGCAGGAACAAGACAGTGGCACGTGCACTGTGAGGATATAATGTTAAGATGTACTTCTTACCTTCATAGTTTCCGTAATTTCTAATCGATCCAGGAAGGGAGAGAAGATATAAACAATAACTTCTTAAGTTATATGATTCTTAATATAGGTGGAAATAAGAGTCTATGGTAGTTCAAAAGAAAGATTATTTAAGACTAAGGAAAAATGGGAACCAGAAGTCAATTAAAAAAGAATAATTTAAAAAAAGAAAAAAGAAATTCAGGGAAAACAGAAGTAAGTCAAAAAGTAAAACAAAAAAATGGAACAACAGCTAAACTAGAGAAATGAATAAGGAGATTCTTAAATGTCCAATTTGAACTATTGATGAGATAGATGGGTAGGAGTGTCTTGGTAGATAAAGGATATTGGATACTAAAAGCAACAGGGACCAGAAATACAGGTTTGGAATCCACCCAAATAGAGTTGAAAAGCCACCAGAATGGTTGAGTTTGCCAAGAGATAAAACAGATAAGCAGCAAGGCATGAAAAATGACATGGAGAGTGTCCATACTGAGGTTTGGAAAAAATGATTAAAAGAAATTGGCAGTGAAGGGAGGTTCAAAGAGGAGGAAGAAAACCTAAAGACTGCCATGTCTTGTGTGCCAATGAATGAAATATTTGACAAAGGAGGAGGAAGTTGTCTCAGTGTCAAATGCTGCAGAGTTTTCTGTAATCGAAGAGTTAAAAGGCCAAGTCAATGTGACACCTGAAAAGTTGTAGTTAATCTTTGACAGATCTATTGATATACAGTGGTCAGGGCAGAGGCAGGATTAAAGAATCAGAGGATTGGCCGGGCGCGGTGGCTCAGCCTGTAATCCCAGCACTTTGGGAGGCCAAGGCGGGCGGATCACGAGGTCAGGAAATCGAGACCATCCTGGCTAACAAGGTGAAAGCCCGTCTGTACTAAAAAGAATACAAAAAATTAGCCGGGCGCGGTGGCGGGCGCCTGTAGTCCCAGCTGCTCGGGAGGCTGAGGCAGGAGAATGACGTAAACCGGGGAGGCGGAGCTTGCAGAGAGCCGAGATTGCACCATTACACTCCAGCCTCGGCGACAGAGCCAGACTCCGTCTCAAAAAACAAACAAACAAAAACAACAACAACGTAAAAGAATCAGAGAATTGTGAGAGTAGAGGCACTGGATTTGAGACTGAGAGAGTAGTGGTAGTTCATGAATGCAGATATATCTTAAGATGAGATGGTGAAGAAAAAGAAAAGATGGAGAACAGCTCAGCTAGTGCAGTCAGAGAAAGGTTATTTGGGTTTTTAGGATAGGAAGAAATCACATTTGTAGGCAGAAGAGCTAGAAGCTGGTAAGAAAGAAATGGGAAGGCGAAATTCTCAAAGAAAGCACAAGAGGATGGAATTAAGAGCACAAGCTTAGAGTTAACCTTGGCAAAATACAGACGCACTTAAAAGAAAGGGAGACAAGTGGTGTAGGACTTAAGACAGAGGAGTATTATGGGGCAAAGACGTGATGTTGATTTGGTCAGGCTCTGAAAATTAGGAGTCAGTGCTCTCACTATCACACAGTTGGTTTCAAGTAATGGGTATGGCCAGACATCTGGGACTACAGCTGAAAAGTCCTCAGTACAGTAGTTGAAAGAGACACAGCCCTGGAGACAGGAATTAAGTCCATGAGCTTTAGTAGTGTTATATCCCTCTATTAAAATGTACCAGCAATAGAAAAAGATACAGTAAGTATAAGGTACATTTTGGGCCATCCATATGATAGACTATTATGCACTTAAAAATCATGATTTTAGAAAATATTTTATAGGATAGGGAAAAGCTTACAATAAAAGTTTAATGAGTACAGTAGAATATAAAATTCTGTATACTAGTATGTTGTTAAAATTGTATGCATACATTAAAAATATCACAAATATATGAAAATGTTAATGTTATCTCTAGATAATGAAAATATAGGCAATTTTTATCTTCCTCTTCTTACTTTTTAAATGCTTTTTAAAATTCATGTGGTGAGTAGCTAGAGCATATCATAGAAAGCTCATCACAGCATTGGACAGGGTCTTGTCCACAGCCAGAGATCATATTTAGAAAGATAAGACAAACTGACAGATACCTCAGAACTAGGGCAAAGTTAAGGAATCTAGTTGGACTCAAAAATCGAAAGTCAAGGAATTAGATAAGTGAGATCACTAAGAAAAAATAAAGCATCATCTCAGTAAATGAGGACCCTTTGGTGTTTATTTAATCCCTCTAGTTGAATGTAGTTAGGTAAGCACCTGTATACCTGCATCAAAAGGAGAGTTAGTATTTCTTACAGGTGCTAAGACAGAAGGAATTTTTATAAAATGTGTCACCAAGAAAGAAATTTCCCTAAAATACCATTAAATTCATTCACAGTTATCAGAGTAGCATTACATTTTGCACCTCTTATTTTATTGCGGACACTACATAATTGTTGTCCCTTGAAAGTACTGAAGTAATGCATTGGACCCGAACAGTGAAACTGACTAGTGAAAACATTCAGTATTTGTAATCAAATCATTTTCCATTATAGAAAGTCATATCTACTGATAAGAAATATTGTTCTTTTTTAGAATTTAGGATGTTTCCAAAATTCATGGTCCTATTTTAAATACTACACCAGGGATCAGCAAACCCTGGGTCCCAGGTCAAACTAGGCCCACTGAAAACAAAATTGTGTTAGAACACAGCCATGCCCATTTATATTTGTACTGTTTATTACTGCTTTCTTGCCACAATGTGCTATAGAGCTGAGTAGTTGACAAGAAACCTTATAACCTGCAAAGCTTAAAATACTATATGCCCCTTTACAGAAAAAGGTATGGCTCATCCCTATGCTGCACAATTCATAAATTCCATACACTTTTGAAAAGTTGTTCTTGCTGTTGCTTAATAATAAATTACTCATTCTTTTGTCTTAATGATCATTCTGTGAGATAACTGTTTGTATTTATTAACTAATTGTTGTTAGGTTACCAGCAAGCAAGTTCATCATACAAGATTCAAATGGCTGAAGTTGGAGGATTAGCAAAAACAATGGTCCAGTCAATCACCTTGCTTGAACATCAACTTGTTGAGAAACTTTGGGTACTTAAAGTTCTGCAGCATCTCTCGACTTCTGGTTTGTATATTATTAAGTTTAAACACTTCATTGTCAACTACTTTTGTTTCTGTCTAAAAATGTCAATATTGTAAAGCAAAAATAATGTTTAAAATTTATTTTCAGAAGTAAATTGTACTATAATGATGAAAGCACAAGCAGCCAGTGGAATCTGTACTCACCTCAATGACCCAGATCCCTCTGGACAGCTTTTATTTCGTTCATCAGAAATACTTTGGAACTTGTTGGAAAAGTCTTCAAAAGAAGAAGTCATACAACAGCTTAGTAACTTGGAATGTTTGCTGTAAGTGTATGTGGTTAGATAGGAATGTTCTTTTAATCTTAAAATGATAGCCAGTGACATAACTAACATATTTGTTTGAATCTGTGTTCAATTATGTTTTAGATTCATGTAATGGCTATGTTTCAGGACATCTTCTTTGTGCCATGGTATAAATGAATCTGCACAATAACAAGCCACACTTTTCTATGTGGACGGCTCTTGAAGTAGCTTCTTAACACTAAATTATACCTTAGAATATACATAAAGTAAAATTAGACTTTAGAAGAACGATTTCATTTATTTATCCAGTGAATCTATTATTGAGTGCTTACTATCTTCCAGATATTGCAGTAAGCATTAGCAACAAAATGTAAGCCTTCAAGTTGCTTCTTCACTTATTCAACAAATAATTGTCTGCTCTATGCCAGCTTCAGTGTTAAGCCATAGAAATACCAATGAAAACAATACAGATATTGTCTTTGCATTCATGGAATTTACATTGTGCTAGGACTAAAAGAGAACATACTAAATGTTATGAAACAGATTATTGTAAGATGTACATGTTCTTCAGAAGAAGGTCAATCAGCACATTTTTGTTTGCAAGTGACTAAAAACCCAACTGATCAAAGCAATATAGAAAATTTATGGCTTATTTAACTACAAAGTCAAGGATAAAACTGGTTTGATGTACAGCTTTATTCAGGGATCAGCAGATATTAGGACTTGGTCCCCCCTCTCTCTACATTGTCTTCCATGGTGTTGGCTTCATACCCAAGCCTATGTAGTAAGACCTAAGAAGTCTAGGATCACATCGTCTCAACCTCAAATCAAGCAGAAGAGAAACCTTGCTATCCTGAAGGCTCAGAGAAAAGTCTTTGAATTGAGTCCAGTTTGGCCCTGAATAGTCTAATATTGGTCAAATGCCCATTCCACAGTGATTTATTAATGCCAAAAGAAAAAATGCTCTGACTGGTGAAAAGGCAGCTGAAGGCAGCCTCACAGGAGCAAAAGTCAGGAAGGACTAAATGCCTAAATAAAAATAAGAATGCTGTTCTTATAAAAAGGGCAAGTAGGTCCCAGGAGGCAAAGCAACAAACGTCTACTATTAATACAAGGGAACCTAACTCAGAGTTGGAGAATTCATAACTGCTTCCTAATGAACTCAAGTCTAGTAACTGAATGACAAACAGGACTTGGTAACACAGAGAAGTTTTGCATGCAGACAGCGTCCTAGACAGGGAAAAAAAGTGAAAATATAATTAGCAAAATCGGAAAACTAAAATTCAGTATGGTGAGAGCAGAAGGAACAGGCTACAATGGTGAGAGATGAGGCTAACAATGTTATCAGGGCCCATAACATGAAAGGCCTAATAAGCCTTGCTTGTTAAGGAGGTAGGACTTAATCCGAAGAACAAAGAATAGTCTTTAAATGGTTTTACAAAGGAAAATGACATGATTGAATGTATTATAGAGCTGTCACTTTGACCACCATGTGTAATAGACTGGTTTAGTGGATTCTTATCTGGTACATAGAGAATTAGAGGCAGATTTCGAAGTGTAAAAAATGTTAAAGATACGTTCAAATCAATAGTATAATATAAAAAGGGAGATTTTGTTGATAGACATTCAGGTAGTATTTCCATAAAAGTATGTGTCTTAGTTTGAGCTGCTATAACAAAGTACCATAAACTGGGTGGTTTATAAACAACAGAAAGTTATTTTTCATAGTTTGGGAGGCTAGAATTCTGAGATCAGGGTGCCAGTATGGTTGGGTTCTGATGAGGGCCCTTGTCTGGGTTGCATACTGCTGATATCTTGTATCTTTTCATGGAGGCAAGAGAGCGAGACAGCTCTCTGGAGTCCCTTTTATAAGGGCACTAATTCCATTCACGAGGGCTCATTACCTCCCTAAGACCTCACTCCTAAGACCGTCACATTGAGGGTTAGGATTCCAAAATATGAATTTTGGAAGGACGCAAACATTTAGTGCATAACAATATAGTTTTTAAAATACGATTTTACTTTCTAGGGCTTTGAAGGAAGTATTTACAAATCTGTTTATGAGAGGTTTCAGTCATTATGACCGTCAGCTTAGAAATGACATATTAGTGATCACTACAATTATAGCTCAAAATCCTGAAGCACCAATGATTGTAAGTATGAATCAAATTGCATTAATTTTAATTGTGGAAGTGGTGGGTGTGGGTGAAAGAAGTCCTATATTATGTTGTAATATTTGTGTATTTTGTTGTAATGCTAAGTTATGCTGTAATATCATGATGGTCACCAGTATGCTTATCACTCTGCCAATTCTTCTTTGCAATCCTTTGGAAATTTGGAATCTTCTTCATATTGTGTGATTTATACACGTATTTACCACTTATGCTTTTCTTTCCTTCTTGATGATTTGAGTTTCCATCTGGCATCATTTCTCTTTCACTGGAAGAACTTTGTTTACAATTTCTTGTGGTGCAAACCTGCTGGCTGCTGGCAACAAATTATCTTAGTTTTCTTTTTATCTGAAAATATATTTAATTCATCTTAATTCTTAAAGTCTATGCTCATTGAATATAGAACTCTAGGCTGAAAAGTTTTTGTTTAGCATTTCAAAGATAAAGTTCTACTGTCCTCTGGAGTCTGTTGTTTCTGGAAATATTCAGTGTGAGGTTCCATGGTGTAATGGTCAGTACCCTGGACTCTGATGAGAAGTATTCATAATTTCAAATCATTATTCCCCTATGTATAATGTATCATCTTTTTCTCTCACTGTTTTCAAGATTTTCACTCTATCTTTGGTTTTTAGCAGTTTCGAAATGATGTGCTAAGGTGAGATCTCCTTTGTATTTGTTCTGCTTAGGTTTCATAGAGCTTCTTGGAGATATAAATTTAAGTCTTTAATAAGATTTGGAGAACTCTTGGCCATTATTTCTTCAAATATTTTTTCAGTCCCATTCTCCCTACTTCTTCAGGGACTCTGATTACTTTTATGTTTGACTTTTTGATATTGTCCCACAGGTTTGTGAGGCACTGCTCACTTTTTTCAATCATTTCTCTCTCTATTCTTCAGGTTGGATAATTTGTATTAGTCTATATATTTAAATTCATCGACTTTTTTATTTCTGTCATCTCCATTCTGCTGTTAATCTCATCCATCGCCTTTTTACTTCAGATATATTTTTCAGTTTTAGAATTTATTTTGATTCCTTTTTACAGTGTCTCTCCTAAGAGTTCTTGTCTTTCTATTCATTATGAACATCTTTACTGTAGATTCTGGTATACTCCTCTGATGAGTTTTTAATAACTATACATTTAACTTGGCTGTACTTATCCCTTTGAGGTATGACATTCCAAATCTCAATTCAGTTCTTGCCTGGGATGCTTGAGTATTCTCTGCACTTGTGTGGTTCAGACATCAGCCAGATATTTGGGAAGAGTTTGTACACAGAATTTAGTATTCTCTCTCTCTGGCTCTCTCCTTTATGGGATTTCTCCCTTCTAGTGTTGGTGGTTGCCTCTGTCTTCTGGTTCTTCAGGCCACTAAGACCACAGGATTACTCTGAGTTTTAGCATTCCCACGAGGTATAGAATATGGCCTGCTCTCAGGTCAAAAGCCTTTTTTTTTTTTTCTGAGACGGAGTCTTGCTCTGTCACCCAGGCTGGAGTGCAGTGGTGCGATCTCAGCTCACTGCAAGCTCCGCCTCCCGGGTTCACACCATTCTCCTGCCTCAGCCTCCTGAGTAGCTGGGACTACAGGTGCCCTCCACCACATCGGGCTAATTTTTTTGTATTTTTAGTAGAGACAGGGTTTCACTGTGTTAGCCAGATGGTCTCGATCTCCTGACCTCATGATCTGCCCACCTTGGCCACCCAAAGTGCTGGGATTACAGGCGTGAGCCACTGCCCAGCCCCAAAAGCCTTTTTTTAAATGGGAAACTCATTTAGTACCATTCCCTTCTACAAAATTCTGACATCCCTCCAGTGTCTGCTTACTCTTGGTCACACGATAGTTTTATTTGTCACCAGCAGGAGAATTTCTCTCGGAGCTACTACTCATCTGTACCAGAAGCTGAGCCTTCACATATTTTTTAATTAAAAATCATTGAATGATTGAAATTATTTAATAGAGATCCTTGGCAACAAGATTCACAAGTCAGGCACGTAAGTTCTAGTTGTGCTACAAAGAACTGGCTATGAAGACCTCAGTCCACTAACAGTGGACATCAAGTAGTCCCCATATAAGAGTCATGGAATTCATACTGTGCAAATAGGGAAACAGTCTTACATAGTATCCTAGTTAAAGCTGCCACTTATAGGTGAAACTTTGTTTCTCTAGAAGCCCCTGTTCAGTTAGTAATTTCTCATTAGTGTCCTTGCAAACATTCAGATGAATTTCACGAATGCGAGTCAAAGGAAATAATATCATCAGCATCTAAAGAAACCATATAGATCCTAAAGTAATGGGGCTATAAAACTACAAGCTCATAAGCCCAGGGTTTGCCCCTGTAAACTCTCCCTAATGTGCAAAGTCCAACTAGGATATCTCTGTCAGGAATGCTGACATGCTAAAATGTTTGCAACTCTGGTGATTCTTCGGGGCTTTTCATGCTAAGTAGGAACTACTTTATTATCTCTTGACCAAACATTTGACATAGCAAGAATGACTGGGGTAGAAGTGGAGGTGTTTAAGAGGAAAGACTGTTGAGAGTAACTGGATTTTCCTCCCTTACTCTGTCATTTGAAGTATAGATAATGAATTATAGAAGTAACTATGAAGACCTAATATACTTTGGATCCTTAACAATTTTAAACAGACTATTCATAGAATAATATAAAATATTTCTTAGAACCTACAGAAGTAAGTTTAAAATTAAGTAAATCTGGCTTATTTAATTTTAAATAAGCTTATCTGGCTATATGTTTTTATTTTTTGCTTCACCCTGTATTACTATTCATGCTTTATGAATTCAAATGAATGACAGTAGGATAATTTGATAAATGTACATAAGTAGTAAATGTGAGCGTGTGCATCATAACTTGCATCTTATTCATTCATCTTTCTGCTTATTTTATGTATTTATATTAGGAATGTGGCTTTACCAAGGATTTGATACTGTTTGCCACCTTTAATGAAGGTAAAAAACATAAAACTTTCAACTTCTTATAATTATCTTGATGAGTCTTGTACAACATTTAAGCTTTCGTTTTACTTTTTTTCCCTCACAGTTAAAAGTCAAAATCTTTTGGTAAAAGGACTTAAGCTTTCTAATTCCTATGAAGATTTTGAGTTGAAGAAATTACTATTCAATGTAATTGTGATCTTATGTAAAGATTTACCTACTGTACAGGTAAAGAGTAATCAAGGCAGGAAAATCAATAAAAATTGTCTCACTTTATAGTATAACTATTTTAAAGTCCTGACTGTAAATCTTTTATCAATTCATATATTTACCATAGAAAGTAGTAAAATTTTACTAACCTGAATTTTAGCTTTAAAATTTTTTCTTTGCTTATCTGTTAGTAAACAGTGAAGTACTTAAATTTAAACTACATAAACCAAAGGAAAATAGTAGAACCTAAGAGATTTAATGATACAGTTAGATCTTTTGAATTAGACAGCATAAAATGAAAGAAGCTTCACATAGGCCTGTCCAGCCTAATAATCTGTCTCTGACCATAGTAACAAGGACTGATTTAATGCTGGAGAAAATTATTAACCTCTGTGATGCCAATCTCAAACTCTTATGAACCTGTTTTTTCAACACACAAGTTTAGCGTCTTTAATTACTTTTACTCTTTATGAATTCATCTTAATACTTTGTTTCCTGCATAATAGCGTGATGTAATTTGAAGAACATTGGAACTGAATTTCACTTCTGGCTTATCACCTACTAGCTACGTGGCCTTAGCAAAATTACCTCATCTATCTGTGGTTCATTTCCTCCTTCTGTAAAGGAAAGATTATAATGCTTCGGCCCTGCTCACAGGTCTATTGTGAAGTTTGGATGAAGGTTTTTTAAACTATAAAGTGATAGTAAATGTATTATTAACAATTCTGTTAGTTAGTTGCTGCATTAAGTGAAATTTCCTTCTAGTCTAAAACTCTACCAAACTCCAAGGATTACCATAAAAAAGAAGTAGGAATTCAGTCTATCAACTTCACCACCAATAATATAAAGATGGGATAGTCTAGCAGTAAAGGCTTTATAGTCAGACAGAATCTCAGTGCTACCACTTTCTAGCTATGTGGCATTGAATGGGTTGTTTGATTTCTCTAAATCCCAGGTAGCTCAACTTCAACATGGGGATAACACCTACCTCGAGATTATTATGAGGATTTAACTGAACTGAGGATTTTCTTAGTAATGCAACTTTAAGGAATATATATATTTTCAAATGCTCAGGAAAAGAAAAATTGTCTTTACAATTATAACTTTGTTATTTGTGACCAAAAAAATACATACTGTGTAGAACCTAAATGCATTTTCCAAAATGCAAATGGAAAATCATTTGGAAAATTATTCCATAAAGTATGGTTTATTATTCCAATAGAGTATTATATAAATTTTAAAAATTAGACCTATAAAGATAATAAAATTTACACTACAGTTTATAAATCAATTCTAATTGATTGAACAACATTTTATAGACAACACAGCCAAGTAGCACAGATTATGGTGACGAACTTCTTAAAACACTTTGTGAGCAGTGAAATCAACAATTTTTATGTGTCACATAATTTGTGGTCCAGTAATATTGCTAGTAATGATAATGAATATGTACACTATCATTTGCAATACACAGGATTTTTTTTTGAAACATCATATACTTAATTCTAACAATAATGTTAGAACTAGTAGTTATTCCTGTTTTCTCAACCCTAAATCTTGCATTCTTTTCACATGGAGTAGTAGGGAATTAGAAAAATTAACTATTTTTGTGAAAATCTTTCTAGAACAATGCTAAATTAAAAGAAAATTAAATATAATATAGCATATGGGATTTTATTCTCTTGTGAATCATAAATATGCATCCATCAGAATTAGCTGTATTAATTCTGTTGTCATAATAGCTATGCATTTTAATCTCATTTTTATTAAAATGATAGGTTCAATAAAATTTTAAAATACTAGGCATGTAATGAAGCATGGCTTGTGACCTAACTGACATTTATTTGGCAGAATGTTTATGTAAGTTCTGTTGCATGTGGTTAAATATTCACTTAGTCATTACCTCAGACAAAGTTGTTTTTTATGGTACACGACTGAGTCTGTGAGATATTTCCTTTTTAAAAAGAGAGTGAGGAAAGAAATGTCAGCACTTGCCCCAAAATATTCTACTCCTGTGGTTTTATTATAAGCAGGAACTAAATTACATATATGAGCAGCAAAAACAAAAAATTAACACATATTTTATGTTATTGTCAGAGAGTACATACCTCAGAAAAGAGGATTATAACCGTTATTAAATTTTTGTTTTTTTATTATTATTTTTTTGCTGCCTATCATAGAATGGGATTATTTTATAAAGGAATTATTTTGAAATAATCCTCAATAAAACATCAAAATGTAAATGTTTAATTTAATTGCCTTAAAGTATTTTTAGCTATGTTTCTAACAAAGTATCCTTTGTTCTTTCTCACAGCTATTAATTGATGGCAAAGTTATTTTGGCTTTGTTTACCTATGTTAAGAAGCCTGAGAAACAAAAGATAATGGACTGGTCTGCAGCACAGCATGAAGAATTACAACTGCATGCAATTGCCACTTTGTCATCAGTGGCTCCTTTATTAATAGAAGAATACATGTCATGCCAGGGAAATGCTCGAGTCCTTGCATTTCTAGAATGGTGTGAGAGTGAAGGTGAGTGGCCCTTCAAGATTCTTGTCAAAATTTTAGTCTTCATATTTCAACTGAATGCTCAATATATGCATAGAAATAACAATGAAATCAATTAAAGCTATGAGAAGTAAAAACATATAGACCTGTCTTCTTAACGTATTTATATGTTGTTTTAAGAAAAACACAGATTTGATTTAAAGTCAGACATTAGTAAACCTCATAGTTGATGCACACCTGAAAGAAATCATACATATAATTTAAATTTTTGTATTATTAGACCTATCTAAAAATTATATTTGGGAAGAAAATAAATCCTGGGAATGTATTATTTGCTTTGTTTGTTTGTTGAGACGGGGTCTCACCCTGTCACCCAGGCTACAGTGCAATGGCATGCTGATGGCTCACTGCAGCCTCAACCTCCTGGGCTCTAGCGATCCTCCCACCCCAGCCTTCCCAGTAGCTGGGACTACAAGTGCATGCCACCACGCGAAGCTAATTTTTGTATTTTCTGTAGACAGGATTTTGCCATGTTGCCCAGGCTGGTCTCAAACTCCTGGGTTCAAGCCATCTGCCTACTTCGGCCTCTCACAGTGTTACGATTACAGGCGTGAGCCTGAAATCAATTACAATATTGCCCAGTCTGTCAGTATTATAATACATTCATTCAACAAATATTTATGACTGCCTACTGGATACTAGATACTGTCTTAACTACTGAAAATACAGTTAGGCTTTAAATAAATAAACATCGTTTTCTCTATGGAGCTTAAAATCTAGACCTCTAGCCAGAAGTAATGACTCCAATGTGGTCTACTAAATTAGTAGAGCCCCAATTTGTTTGTATTTTGTTTCAGTTCTTAGAAAGGAAATAAGAAATACATTCATTTTTTAATAAAGTTTTATAAGGAAGATATTGCTTCTTTTCTGGTAGTAAATTTGCTCTGGAAATAATTTTGTATGATGCATTTTCATTAGATCAAGAGTATCGCCCATTTATGCATGAAGGAGGAAAAAAAAGATAGCCTTTTTATTCTCGTTTCTAATATACTGAGCTACTAAATTTAGTCTTGTAAAATTATTTACCACTAAATGAAGCAAGTCTTCAGTCTAACCTTTATATCATTTATGTTCGTAGAAAACTTTAAGGCAAAAGGGGAAATGCTGGCTAATAAGAGAAAGACTGATAGCTAATAGTTTTTCAGAACCTACTATCTGGTGAGCCTTAAACACCTTCCAAGTATTAAGTCATTTTAATCCTCTCAACAAACCTAGGAGATATAGGTACTATTATTATCCCTGTGTATCAGATGGGTAGAACTCAGTCTAAGAAGCTAAATAATTATTCCTGGCCACAAGTGGCAGAGCAAAAATTTAACCGAGGTTCTATAATAGAACCCACAATTGTAACCAACATTCAATACTTAGAACAGTATTTTCAACTTTTTTTTTTAGCTGGAAATATAAAGCTACTTCTAAAAGAAGCTTTTAAAGAAAGCATAGCATGAAGAAGGGAGGATTTGCCTTGCTACTTATCAAGACCTACCATAAAGCTATAGTAATTAAAATTATGTGGTACTGGGTCATGGATAGACCAATGGCATGGAATATATGGAAGGCTGGCATTATGAGAGATGATACTGCCAATCAGTGAGGGAAGGGTGGTGTTGGGGCAGTTGGTCCTCCATGTGAAAAAATAAAAATTAGACCTCTTCACTTTGTTTTTTCTAAAAATCAATTGCAAAAGTAATAAAGACGTAAATATGAAAAGTCATACAGTGAAACTCTTAGAAGAAAACATGGGAAAATATCTTTTTGCTGGATATCAGCGTAGGAAAGGTTTCTTTAAAAATACTCATGAGTTTAAGGTATAAGAAAAGATTGATGCATTTAACGACTGTAAAATGTACAAATGTCTGTTTGACAAAATCTAAGTGAAATACTAATTTACAAATTGAGAGATGACATTTACTACCCCTGTAACTGGTAGTAGATTATAATCCAGGTTCATAAATAACTCCTATATATCAACAAGAAAACAACTCAGTAGAGAAGTATACAAAGACTAAGAACTGCCATGTCACAGAGAAAACCCTACATTTTCAAAAACCATTTTAAAACTCTCAATCCCAAGGCAATCAGGCAAGCGCAAATTAACAACAATGAACTACCATTTCACATTTAGCAGATTTCATGGGGGAAAATCAAGGCCAGGTGCAGTAGCTCACACCTATAATCCCGACACTTTGAGAGGTCAAGGCAGGAGGATCAGCGGTCAGAAGTTCAAGACCAGCCTGGGCAACATGGTGAGACCCTATATCTTAAAAAAAAAAAGTCAGCTGGTCATAGTGGCACACACCTGTAGTCCTAGCTTCTTGGGAGGCTGAGGTGGGAGTATCACTTGAACCCAGGAGATTGAGGCTGCAATGAGCTGTTATCATACTGTTGCCCTCTAGCCTGGGCAACACAGCAAGACCCTGTCTCTTAAAAAAGAAAAATTAACTCATCTTATACATTGTATCTTTAGTAAAATTCAGTGTAGATGTATCCTATATTATTCTGGTCACATGGAAAAATTCTTCTCAATGAATATAAGAGGACATGAACCAGAATGTTTATTGTAATAATTTATACTAGTGAATGGATAAACTATAATTCATTTATTAAAATGAACGCTGAAACCAATTAAAATGAATAATCTAGATCTACTTGTGAAAATGTGAATAATTTTTAAAATAAACATGTTGAGTAACAAAAGCAAATTGCAAAAGATACATATAATATGATACATTTGAGTAAAATTCTAAAACACCTACTTCTGAGAATAAGAGGGAAAAGGGATAATATTTTATTTCTCTAAAAAAAACTAAAGCAAATATAACAAAATTTTAACAATTGTTTAAAGTTTTGATAGATGTATAAGATATCTGATATATTTGTTTTATTTGAAATGTTTTTGTTTTAAATTATCAATTTTTCTCCACAGATCCGTTTTTCAGTCATGGTAACAGTTTTCATGGTACAGGTGGCCGAGGCAACAAGTTTGCCCAGATGCGTTATAGTTTAAGACTCCTGAGAGCTATGGTCTACCTCGAAGATGAGACTGTAAACACAGATCTTTGTGAAAAGGGAACAATTCAGCAAATGATAGGTAAAATATAATGTGATGGTTTACTGATAAAAGAGAAATATTTTTAATAGTAGTAGTTTTGTTTGAAATATTTTTCCAAAATTTATTTTGTCTTTATGACTGAGAAACTCCTGAATATTTTCTTGATTTTTGTTTCATATTGTTGCTATAAATCAGTGTGTCTTCTTATTGAAATATCATACTCATTAACCCTTTAAACATTTATTTCTTCAACCCAGATATCATTTCATTTAGGATTATCTTTAACTTGTTTTAAAATGGGCTATTGTTATGGTTTATTCTTTTTGTAATAAAAGTCACCACTTTTGGCCAAGTCTTTTGGAACTATTTTAAAACAGAATAACATGGCATGTTCCAATGCATGTGTCATAACAGAACATTGGTACATTGGTATTTACAGAAATGTACAGAGGAGTTTCTTTTCTGATATGAAATATCAGAATATCCTTGACTTTCAACTTAACACTTGGCTATGCTAGATGAGAAAATAGAAACTATGTATATCATAGAAAGATAGCATGTGTTACCACATGTCATCAATTAAACACTTAATGAGTTTCCCCTAAAATAAGTACACATAAACTCAGTGTAAAATTCAGAACCCCTAAACAAAAGCTGCTTTGTCTTTTGTTGTTTAAAAAATAAATAGTTCTCCGGATCATACCTTTCCTTGACTTTGAAAAGAGCTATTTCATTCATATTCAAGCTTTGCTTCACTAGTCAATTATATAATCTGCTAGATGTCCATTAATTATAAATGTCTACTCAAAAACTCTTCTACTTGTTAAATTAAGATGATTACTCTTCCATCATTAGTGGAGTGGTGCTCTCCAATAATAATAATATAGGAAATAACAGGAAATCGAAGTATATTAAAAAGGTGAAACATTTACCTTTTTGCCCAGTTTGTTTGTGATGAACAAACCTGAAAGTACATTTTATCATTCCTGTGCACATTCTGTTGTACAAAACTCAGTCTAACCAGAGGAAATCCAGGACATGTAATCTTTCATATGTCTAGGAAGAATTCTTAATCCTACCTGCACTAGAGAATAGGGTAGGGAAAAGGGAAAACAAATAGCAGTGGTTTTTTTCTTCTTAAAATCTTTTCCCTTTAACTGGAAAGAAGCTGATCTTTATGTTAAGTTCTTAGAGGCAGAGACCTTGTCTTATTGAGTCTAACATGGCTTTGTAGTAGTAACGTGCTCAATAAGTAGTAATTAGATTTTAAATGTAAATGTTTATATCCTTCCTGGGTACAGTGTACACTGCAGTGATGGGTGCACCAATGTCTCAGAAACCACCAATAAAGAACTTATCCATGTAACCAAAAACCACCTGTTCCCCCAAAAACTATTGAAATAAAATATAAATGTTTTATTTCCTGTATAGACACTGGGGTTACAAACATGTATAGAGCAGGACACTGAGGACCTTTTCCTTAATGAGAAAACAGAAACTATGTATATCATAGAAAGATAGCATGTGTTGTCCTACACGTCATCAATTAGACACTTAATGAGTAGTACAGAGTAAATGTTACAGAAACTAAGAGTCTTGGGTAGTTTTCAAGGCTGGGAAGTCTTAGGATTCTGTGAGATCAGGGTAGTTTAGAGGTGGAAAAGAAGAGATGGCCCTCAAGCAAGGAAATACCATGAACAGAGAGACATGGTCCTGAAATATACATGGTGATGTGTTCAGAGCTAGTTTAAGAGGAGCCAAAGTGTTATGAAGGTAACACAAGACAGGTTAACTGTATAGTCAGAGGCCAAGACGGAATGAGTTTTGAGTGATTGACAGTAGTTCGAACTTCATCCTCTTAAGGTATGGAGAGTCTCAAAGGGTTTTGATTAGTGAGGATATATGTACAATGTTGTGCTTTAGGAAGAAGAATCTGGGAGAAATAGAATGATCTATAACAAGGAGAGAATAAAGGCAAGGAGTTGAAAGGTACATAAATATGAGCATTATACTATGTGTTACAGGCAGCAGGGAAAGTTTCTCCCTGCACCCAGGTCAGAAGAAGAATGAGATGATCTAGAAAGAAGAAGCAGACATATGGCCAGTCAAATTGGATTCCCAGAAGATGTTCCTGATAAAGCGATATAGGCCCCCCTATCCGTGGCATACCCCAGCACTGGGTCTCCAGCAGGCTCAACTAGCCTCTCTTAGGGTCTGATCCCCCACCTGTAATTCATCTAATGGGACCTAGAATAGTCACTAAGGCCAGTTACGGAGATAGGCTGTGATTTCTGTGGCCCTTCTGCTTTGGAACATAGCTCCATACTTTCTCGCTAATGCCAGTTACCCCTTTAACAGAGAAAAAGTGACTTTTTTTCTTTATTTAAAGCTTAAAAAATCCTTTTTGGGGCAAAAGTGTATCATGAATATCATTTCATCGGTGTTAGTGGCCATCTTCAGTCCTTTTCAATTTCAATTACAAGCAAAAGAGGGATTTTAAAGGACATGGAATACTGTTACCTAAAGTTGTTTAAAACACCTTCAGTTAGACATCAAGGAAAGATGCAGAAAGCAATAACAGGAGTAGAAAATGCACCTAAAGAGATCTGCCGCCTTTGCCTAGAATTGACCCTGTTAACCATGAGGAGAAGAAGAGATTAGGCAAACCACAGTCAGGAAATTTGGTCATATATTTGCAAAGGCCCTCATTTCCTACCTCATGAAATGCTGCATATTTTTAAACACAGTTTGCTAAGCAAAGTGTCCAGTTATTGGGGCATCCTTTAATGACATACTATTAATTCTGTACTAGAATTTCTATATATGTGAGGCTATGGATTATACTGAGAAATTCTGTATATGTAGGTAGGGCTACTGATTGCATTGAAAGCTCCAGGAATTCATTTATCATCTTCTTTTCACAGCCTCTAGGTTACTATGCAATGAAAATATCCTCTTCTAAAATAGTTTTTCTAGGCTGGGCATGGTGGTGCACACCCGTAATCCCAACACTAAGCCACTCTGTAACTTCCTGGGGTCTGTTTTCATCACATGAAGAACTATATCTACTCCTTCGATTCCGAAAATTTCCTGTTTAAGATAATTTGTTTTAAATTATTTCTTAAATAAATAATTCCTCCCTTTCCTACTTTTATCTGTCCCCTAAAATTGCTTTTTTACCAGAGAAATACAGCAACATTGTTAGAAAAATACTATTTTTACTACAATTTAAAAAACTGTACTTACTTATTTTCAGGAATTTAAAATAAATTATTATAAAACTAATCATTTTAAGAGGGGGCATCAATCAACATGCCAGCTTAATAATGTCCCTTGATACTTTTTGTTTTATTCCCTTTCTCCTAAAAAAAGTCATAAAACTTGCACTTTGATTTTCTTCAACAATATAATGACTGCAGTCTAGCATTATGTCAGATTAATTCTTAGATTAAGATTTAGAAGAGATTTCCTAAAAGTAATTGATCAAAATAAAAGTAGTATCCAATAACTATACATACTTTGAACATTTTCATACCAGGAATCTTTAAAAATATAATAAGCAAGCCTAATGAAAAGGAAGAAGCCATTGTTTTGGAAATCCAGTCTGATATTTTACTTATCCTATCTGGTCTTTGTGAGAATCACATTCAAAGGAAGGTATGTATGCCTGTGAAAGTTTTGTTCAGGTCTCCCAGTCACCTAACACTACAAACTATTTTTGGAAGTTTCTATAATTGTATTTAATTTTGTGAAAATTTAATATTTTTGTTAATAATTAGAGCATAATTATATAAAGTAAAAGGTAAAAAATATACAACAGTATACACCCATTTAACTAATACCCCCAATTAAAACAGAGAATATTTCTATGTCTATAAAATTTCCTCATCCCATTAGAAGCCATGCCCCCGCTCACTTCCAGACAAACTACTATTCTGTTTTCTATTCCTAAAGGTTGGTTTTGCCTATTCTTTAAGTTTATATGAATGGAATCGCACCATATTTACTCTTTTATTCTGGATTCTGTCATCCAGCATCATATTTTAGAAATATATCCATGTTGACCGGGCATGGTGGCTCAGGCCTGTAATCTCAGCACTTTGGGAGGCTGAGGCAGGTGGATTGCCTGAGGTCAGGAATTCGAGACCAGCCTAGCCAACATGGCGAAACCTCATATCTACTAAAAATACAAAAATTAGCCAAGC